ATCAGGTCTTATTAGGAGTTCTATTTTCTCTACATCTTTTAGTAATTTTTTGAACTCCAGTTTTGGAAACTCCTTTTTCATTTACTCAGTTTGAGATTATCTATCCTTATGCAAGTGGATTTCTTATGTCTGATCTCCTCAGAAATGGAATAATTGGAATAATTATTAACTTAAAAATAATGGCTGCTTTGACAGGAAATTTAATAAATGTAGGGGCCTCTGATTTTGTACAGTATTACATATACTTATTGTTGTTCCTGTATGTTATTTTACTGTACAGCCAAACTGGCTGATGACTGTTTTTTTGGCTGGTTTTATTAGCCTTTTTTAAACCAGAAGCTCACACAGTGTGGTCTAAAGGAACACAAGCAGATTTCCAACACTTTCTATTAGCCAGTTCCAGTACTTTCTAAACCGCAACATGAATAACATTATTTGCTCTTTAATTGGTGAAACTGGCATTTTGAAGTCTTAAATGAATCAGCTGCCTGTTTAAATAACAAGAATCTAATAAAGAGCAAAATCAAATGTAAGAGACAACTGACTATTCAGCACAATGAGTCATACACAATTATGCTATGACATTTTCGTACAGGTGTAGCAGCAGCATTCAAATACAGTGCCAGCGCACTTACCTCCCTCACATTATTTACATCATAAAAATGAACAGAAATTGGACAAAACTGGCCGATTGCGTGTTTGGAGCAAAAAACTGCCAATTCCGATCTTGGCTGATTCCGACCATGCATCCCTACTCACACACTTTCTGATCATTTGCATTTGAGAGTGTGTGTGTGTGTGTGTGTGTGTATTTATAGCTCCCAGAGTTCTGCATTTGATCATTTCTTTCTTGCCTTGTGTTCCCTTTGCTGTGCTGAGGCCAGAGGAATGGGTTTGGAGCACAAAGCATGAAGAGAGAGGAGCCCACAGAATCCCTCTGGCACAGAAATGATTGCGTGAGCACGAAAGGTACAAGCACCTTCTGGCTTCTCTCAGAACACACATATACACACACACACACACACGCACACACACACACGCACACACACACACACACACATGCAGAAACACAAAGAGAGACTTGCCAATTAAGATGCTTCAAATGTCAGAGGATTTCAGAGATGCATTAAGGCCTTAACTAAGAGAATTATTGAACAGCTTCTGTAAAATCTGTGCTGAGCAGAGTCTGTTCCTGTTGTCTGCTCGTATAGGCAAGGACATCTGTTATAGAGCAAAAGTACAGTAAGATGTAACCTAAAGGGTGCATTTTCACTACAATAGAAATCAAACCTGTCTGCTAAATATGATCTTCACATTGTTTTCTGGGGGGACATATTTTTAAACAGGCACTATAAAAAGAGACTGGTAACACATGAGAATATACTTATATATAAACAGCCGTACTCATGCAAAAAAAATTATGTTTAATACAGATTGTTGCTCTGTTAACTTACTATTAGAAGTTCAAAGAACTCAAAAATTGAAAGCAGTCAGGTTAGTTACTTTTTTAAAGGGCCCATATCCTGCATTTGTCTTATTTTTGTCCCTGAGGTCCACCTATGACTTTAGTGTGGTTTTATATATCAGTAAATTAAAACTTCACATGACTATCATCCAACCCAGTGTGACGCAGCAAAGCGGCCATTCATTTTCAATGACAGCTGGTGTGAGCAATGTCGATGCAAAGTGGGCGGAGCTGGCAATGCAACAAAGTTGAGAAAAATTTAACTTTATGCAAATTAGGAGCGAAGCGATGTGGCGATTACCAACAGGAAGTGAGGAGGGTGGTACGTGTTTTATCTTTGCCTCTGTGAAGCAGCATGCCTCTTTTCTGATTCCTAGATATATGTTTCTACTAGAGATGAAGGAACTGTCTGTGCAGTCACATACTGCCTGCACTGACAGTTATGCACTATGCAGTAGTGGGTGGTCTAGACAAAACTCCAGGGCTGAATTCGGGTCCCAGTCTAGCTCTGGTGGGAAGGTATTTGATTTGCGTTCAAACTGATTTTGTATATACTCTGTAGAGACTAAAGTATGGCGTACTGTACTGGCATTTGCTTGGCATCAGTGAAGCCATGGCAACCAATGGTCAGCTCGAGCTTAGAAACACCCGCAGGCAATAAGTGACCAGCAATTTAGGCACAAAAGAGTCAAAAAGTCACCTAATCACAGGTTAACCAAGAGAGGTGTGGAGGAAGAAAGTGTCTTTTGATTTTGTAGGTGGACTGTTATGATTTTTTTATTTTAATTTTGATATCCACTTTCAATTATTGTTATCTCATGTGATGTTAAAGATGCTGGCTAAGCCTATGCTGGCTAAGCACTTGGTGACACTGGGTTCCATGTTTTTAGAAATGTAGTTTGCATGATCATGCAATCCAACTGAACTTGCTGCCTTTCTGCTCTTTCCTCAAAACACCCATCAGCGACTAGCTGTAGGCAGTTTGAGCAACGCTGAGTGATTTTAGCGCCTGCAGTGTTCACACAGGACTCGGATAAAATAGGCAGTGTTTGTTACTGAGCTGTAAGGTTGATACGTGTAAATGATCCCTGTTCTGATTGGCTGCCATTTATTGTGCTTCATTCAAAAAGCAGTCTGGGCTGAAAAACTCCTTATAAGTTCAATGTGAGTGGGTGGGGCTAAACTGGCTAATTCGGCAGGTATATGTAAATGTGTAGGTTTAGTGACATCATATTAACAGTGAATTCAAACAGGCTAGTTTCCATACATTTCATAGACTTCATAGACTGAGAAGTGAATGGTTTGTTTTGAAACTTAACAAATGTTTACATATTACATCAAATGCTTTTATTTAAAAAGGTGAAGAAAATTCAGTTTTCCATGATATGGAAACATTTTTTTTACAGGGTAATCTGTTTTAAATCTGCCCCTCTGTATGCTTCAGTGCTCACGACCTTCTGCAATCATTTGAAATATCATAGCCAGTGTTAACTATTCTTTATGCATCTGACAACTTGAATATACAGTTGCTAATTTTATCTTTTAGCCTGAAAAAAAAAAAAATTCTCATAATAATCTAATAGAACTTTGAAAGTTTCAAGGCCAATTATCTCTAAACTATGCTTTTCTCAGACACAACCTTAGAATCCTAGAGTCTCTTAGGATTGCTTAGAACTCATTACATAGAGGCAGCTATAGGAAAACACTTAAATGGGAAGAAGAAGAAGAAGAAAACGATACACAGCGACATAGATCACCACATTGTTATAAATGACATTTCAGAAGTGACTTGTTGCCTTTCTAAAATTAGTTGGGGAGGAATCCTCTCGGGGCTTTTAGAGCTTATCTACATGGTAAACACACTTATGAGACTGCCATGGAACGCAAAGGCAAGGAAGTATGGCACTTAAAGATCGTTTGCTGCTGGAAGCCTGCTGGGATTGTGGGCAAAAACGTTCGCTGTTTGTTGGGAGTCCCTCGGAGGGACAACAGCAGTTAGTAGCCCAGCAAAAGAGCGAATCCAGCACTGTCATCGGCAATAAAAAGAGCCGTCCAGCTGTACGCACACACAAGAGAGCGCGCAGAAGGATGAAAAGTAGTGCTGGGATTGAGGCAGGCTTTACCAGGGGAATGTTACCAGGGGAGACTTGGAGGGATATGTATTCCTGGTTATTGCCTGATTGATTCTGGTTGCCCAATACTAATCCATTTTTATAGCTCTCTAAAGGCCTGAGTTGGGAAATATCTTGGACTTGTCTACATCAGGTCCTTTCATGCATTGTGAGTATCAGGAATACAACCAGCTTGGGATTCTTCATATACGAATGCTTTTAAGAGGTGCATTTAATTCCTTTTTTACAGGTTTCTCAGTTTTTTTCAGTAACACTGATGGAATATATCTAAATGATGAAGTGCATTTACGAAAAATGGATGCAAACTGGATGTTCATCTTTGTAGGTGAGCAAGCAAGTCAACGCTTGCTTTTACTGTGTTTAAATGCTATTTTTGTATTGTGGGAGTTGTCTGTGATTTTTTTGATATGAAGAACGCTGCAGCGCTATTGGTTTCACCCCAGCATGCCTGTTTAAGTGGAAAGCTGTGGACTGTTTTCACAGCAAGTGGTTCTTCCCTCTCCCCTTTCCCCCCCATTGCTCAGTAGCAGCTCAACATAGAGCCACAACGTTCCACAAACAGAGAGCCAACCATGTCCTAGTTAATCTGATAACAGAGTTACAGGGAAAAATATTTTGTTTGATTATATTAATTACAAATATTCAAGTTTTTCCTTTACACCAGCTGAATGACCACTAGAGGGCCTGCAGAAAGAGGCTACAACAGATTTAAATCAGATCACCAAAACCACTTCAGTTTAGCCAGATGTCATTCCAGTCTAAATATATCCGTCTATTCAAGCCACATTTGGCAACCAAAACCCCTCTTAGTACATTATGTCATTTCACATGTGGTACATGTCCACAATGACTACACATTGACTGTCGAAGCTGGCACCTTCTTTTAAGCTAATGAAAGAAATGCTAATTATTTTTGAAGAGGAAAAAACAGAAACAAGGAACAACACAGCGTATTTGCTGCCGAGCAGAGACACATTTGATGTATAGATACAAATCACATGAAAAGACCAGGCATAAATAGGGTACCAATTTATTGCATAAAATAGCTTATGTTGAAAGTACTTAGCACATCTACACTAAAGGTATAAACATGATTTTGGCTCATGTTTGCAGCTTTTAAACCTAATAGACAAAAATATCTTCAGCGATACACTAAAGGATCCTAGTTCAGATATAAAAAAGAAGAAACAATAGCTAGTAGAAATAAAAAGCCTAATAACTAATCACATCTAAAGACAGGAAATTGCTTTTCCAGAGACAAAGAGAGGATAAAAAGCGTAAGTGCACTTGATCAGACAAAAAGAGAGAAAGGGAGCACCGAAAAAGGAAGCAAGCAATTGGTGTAACATTGCCCTTCTAGAAAAGAAAGCTTTCATGATAGATGGAAGGAGAAGACAACTCACCTGAATACGCCCAATACGGATCCCCAGCTGCCCTCCTCTCTCTCTGATGATGCTGCTTCAGTCCTGTGGGTGCAGCTGCAACAGAGAAAAACACAGACAGAAGGTGGTTTAGAGAACTGGCCGAACTCCATGAAAGAGCTTAAACTATTCCTTATTGTCTGTGGCATGCCAATTCAGACGTATTTGTGAGTGTTAACAAATTTGTACAGTATTCCCTCTAATGTTTGTTTGTGGCTTATTACTGCAACACTCCGTGACTGCACAGTTGCTGAGCCTTCAGCATTTAAACACTGCTGATTACAATATATAACATTCATATAATTGTAATATGTACCTTTCATAATTTTATTATATGCAATTACACATATTCCCCATTCCCTATAATTAAGCAAATGCTAGATCAGTACTCGCTCACTTAAGGGTATTACCTGCTCCTTATAATTAGCTGAAACTCTTGTCAGTTAGACATTTAGACCGAAATGCTTGGCTGAGAGCAGAGGACCATCTTTATTTGGCCCAGTACCACTGCTGGAATAAGCAGTGCAGTAAGTACCAGCAGTGCGGGAAAGGCAATTGCGGTGGGGCCTGTCTTGCAAGGGTGGGGAGTGGCAACTGAACCCCCTAAGGTATTTATTAGATCCCTTAGATCATTACTTATGCAATTTTATACCAGTGACTAAAAATTACCCATGACAACAGTATATACTTCAACAGTTAGCCTCCCACTTTGGTTGAAACACAGCAAAAATAAGTAACAAAGCAAATTACACTGTCACTTTATTTATTTAAGGCCATTTTTTGTGCAGGGTGGCCTACACAAGGAATAGCTACATAATATTCAGTTTTCAGTTCAACACTTTAAGGATGACACAAAAGCATGGCTATTTCGTTTAATCTGCTCTTCTTCATTAATCATGTGATTTCCCAATGCTGTTGTTATATTAAAAATATCTTACAAAGCCTAAAATCATACATTTGAATATAGTTTGTTCCACAAACTGCCTTTTTGGAAAAAAAAAAAATTGAAAATGGGAAAGGGGTCGGTCATGTTTATTTTGTTACTCTGATGAAACAAAACAGTAACAGTACTGTATACACAGTAACAGTAACAGTACTGCATACACAGTAACAGTAACAGTACTGCATACACAGTAACAGTAACAGTAATGCATATGCAGCAACAGTAACAGTACTGCATACACAGTAACAGTAACAGTACTGCATACACAGTAACAGTACTGCATACACAGTAACAGTAACAGTAATGCATATGCATCAACAGTATACGCAGTAACAGTAACAGTACTGCATACACAGTAATAGTAACAGAACTGCATACAGTAACAGTAACGGTACTGCATACACAGTAACTCCTCTGGCAGCAGATTTCAATGAGTTTAAGGGGCCAAATTCTCAGAATGGGTTTTGATAGGGTTAAAATACTATGTTTGTATGCAAGACTATGTTGTTATAGCCAATCTAACTTAGGCAAGTTGGAAACAACAACGACAAATTTGCCACCAACGCTTGTTCAAACACAAAAATGAAATCTCCATTTGATCTGTCCTAACAGTGTGAACTTCCACACTCATACAATTTTAAATATTTAAAATGAAACATAGGCATTTTGTAAAGTTGTTTTCTACAATTTCTCAGTAGGCTGAATGATATTTTTCCCAACGTTCTGAAACGTATCCAATCTGGCAACAGCTGCTACGAAAAAATGGATTTTTGGGTGGAGCTTAGATAGATCAATTGTGCATGATGCATTTGTGAAATTGGAAAGAACTGCCTTATAAAGAGAGAGTGTTCCAAGACTCAGCGCAGCATTAAACAAACAAGTGTGCAAGAGAAAGAGTAGCAGAAGAAAGAGGGAAGCTAAAGGGGAGGGGAGAGAGATGGAGGGTCGAGAGACAGAGTGAGAGAGAGAGAGGAGAGGAGGAAGAAAGAAGAACTAATTCAAACTAGTGAAGTGTGCCCACCTCTCTGCGTGCATCAGAGAGATCCACGCTGGGCACTGCAGGATCAGCTCTCTCCTCCAGTCATATTAATATTTAAACAGCAGCCCACTCTTCTCTAAAACTACACTTTAAAACATGTGTGGCATAATCTGGCCTGTGACTCTCTTTCCAACGGCTCCGTAATTGTCCTGTTTATCTAGCTCAGTGTGTTTCAAAGCCCCTCCACACCTGTGGGAGACCCCCTGCGTGAATGAAAGACATCTTCAAAATCTGGAGGAGACTTAACATGCCTGTGTACGCACTGCTTTGTAGTCACTTAAAGCACTTCTGTTTCCGCTACAGAGCGACACAGACACGTCTGAGAGACACTACAGAACAACAGCTGATAACTAGGTAACTACTTGGGTGGGGGGAGTAAAGGCATCGTGAGCATCGATTTGAATGTTTCAATTCTACTGCATCAATTTCATTATTAATCAATTATAATAATAATGAACTGTACATGCATTATAATTATAATAACATAATGATATTAATTATGATAATATTCAATATTCAAACATAAAAATAAAAAGCTTGATGTGCTGTCTGTACATGTTCCACTTCTGTTTAAATTACGTCTTAACACTTTTTAATTTCTTAACACCTATGTAGATGTCAGCTAGCCAGTTTACCTGTATTTACCTGTATGTAATTATCAATACGCTTCAAACCAAGAAACTGCAGAATAAAGTGGAGAACTTAAAGGATAGTTTGCTGGTTGCTCACTGCAGCACAGCAGTAAAAGAGATAAGAAATCACATTTTTGGGGGCTGATATGAAGAACAGGAGGGCTGAGGCATCCCTAAATAGGGTCTAGAGATGCTAAAAATTTCTGCTGAAATGGTTAACATATACCCATTCTGCTAGATTTCAGATATATAACAGAATGAGTAGTGGCTGGTATAGTTACTGAATGACCCTACTAACCTCCAAGTGAGAAAGTGGGGTTTGAGTCCCTACCCAATGAAGCTCACCACTCTAAACCAATAAGAGTCATTGGGCAAGACGCCTAAAGACTTGTTCACACAGAGTCAGATTTTTACCGATAAAAGAAAACAAACATCGAGTTTTGAAAACTAACATGTACATATTAATGCCAGCTTTCACACTGTGCACGAAACGTACTGCCCGCAAAGGCTTTAATCTGAGCCAGCTTGATTTTCTATATTGTATGGATGTGTTACAATCAGAGCTCTGTTGTCAGGGTTGCAGTCCAAACAAATGAAAGCTGAACAGCTTGTTTTGCTCGTGGCAGAGTACAAAAGCTTATAAAACAAGCAACAAGACTACAAAAATGTGAAGGTTAAAGAAAAAATGTGAAGGACCATAGCTGAAAGACTGGGGAACGAAGTTGAGTACCTTAGAACAATATACTGACTGTTTATAGCCGTTTCTGTTTATCTCAGCATATCCTTGTCTGTTCATGCCTGGTCTCTTTTGTAGAATGTTGGTCCCCAGTGTGAGCTCCTTTCAGCAGCGGTTCTTATACGAAAAAATATTAATTCATCATGGCTACTGCTCGAGAAATCCATTTGACTTTCTCCTCCATCTTCTTCCCGAGCTCCCAGACCGTTAGAAACCAAAAACTTCAGATTTGGTGTATTTGAATTACTCTGTATATCCTACAGCAGGATTAAAGAAAAACATCCTCAAGTTGCTCTGGATAAGATCGTCTGCCAAATGTGTAAATGTAAAAGAAAATTCGCTTTTCAACCAGTCGGAGTGTCTGTTCAGAAGTGTTTTAAAACAAAATGTAACACTTTATTTTGTAGCTGATTAGTAAGCTTTTAACAGAGTATCAGTAACATATCAGTGAAGCAGCAGTAGAACAGCATCTGAATATTTTGAGGTAAATATCTTGAAGATGTACTGTTGATAAATTACTTACATTAACCAGATGTATTGTTGACATGTTGCATGAAGCAGACTTTATATGGTACTTCCATTAAGCAAAACCTAACCTTACCCAGCCTTACCCAAAACCTAACCCTAACCCTGCCCCTAATCCTAAACCCTAACCTTAACCTCAACCCAAAACCTAATCCTAACCCTCATCCTGGTCCTAATCCTAAATCTAACCTTAACCAAAATCTAATCCAGTTAAAGGCCACTTAAAGAAGGAAGTCAACAGCATGTCTATAACAGCTTGTTGAGAAGGTCTGTATTAGACCTGTTACATGTTCAGTGACCTTTCAGGTTAACATCTACAGATATGATCTTGGACACTCCAAAAAAACAACTGAATTCAGCAGATAATAAACAAATTTTATTTACGCAGTTAATGAAAAATCCCTTGATAATGTACTGAATGTATTCACTGCTGCTACATCATTAATATGTCGTTGATATGTTGTTGATCTGAGAGTCTGTTGAGTGTTCACTTCATCTAAAAAGGACCAATCAAAATAGTGCCACCAAACAAAAATATAAACATATCAAACTGTTTCATGATTCATTTAATAGTTTCTGAATGAATCGTAATCAAATCCTTGTGGGATCAGAGATCTACACCTCTACTTACTTCTAAATGAATCAGCTTACAAACAAATGATCTCTGAATGAGAATGAACCTCTGTAAAGCAGCCAGCCATTTATGTGCTTGTGACTGCATAATTTTGGTGGCCATATCATCGCTGCTCCTGCGTGACAGCTCCCTCCCCTTGAGATGAACTTGGATCTTCTTCTCTGAGCCAGAAGGGGATTCCTGTATTTATATCTCACTTCAAAGGGCCCTCCTCCACCTTACCAGTGACTCATTCTCTGGGGAAGATGCTCCGTTCGCACAAACACATTTTGCTACCCTCTGCTCTGTTCTTACCCCGGCTTGCATCATTACATTGGAGATTAATTAGAAGCTGAGCTAAGTCAATTCGCTCTCTCCCAGCAATTAAGGACGCCCTTATTGGTTAGCCAGCAATTAGGCACACTCTTATTGGCTAGCGAGCCATCCTGCTTTGTCTACTGTTTAATCCCCTGACGGACAGCGAGGCGGATCACGCGGGCAACTGGACTGGAACGGTAAACAATTACTCGTTCCTATTAACGCTTTCATAAACTATTCAGAGGGCTATG